AAGGCCCAGCGTCTTGTGTGATATCACAACATCATTAGCCCGTCCTATGTGATTTCCAGGTGCTGGGGAAAAAAAAAAAGCAAAAAAAGGAGCAGCCCTCCCCCCCCCGAAAAAAGGTTGCCCATTCTATCTTGCTGAGCACTCAATTTTAGCAAAATTGTTCATAGGCTGTGATGTTCCAGCATTAATTACTGAAGAATGCTTGGTCAGAGATGACTTATGAGAATTCCACTCCTTGCTGGGCAGGTACAGGGAGCAAAAAGAGATGACTCATGAAAAGAAGCAAAGAACAAAACAGGATTTGGGGGGAAGGGCAGAGCGAGCAACTGGGAGTGAATATGGACTTTGGAAGCTATCTGAGACACTTCAGATACCGATGGGAGTGTGACAGCTGTCAGGTGAAACGTTTCTTTTGTGGTCCCACTCTGTTCAAATGCTGTACGTGTAAATAAATATGATACAATTTCAAGAGCTTTCCAGACTTGCTCAGAGAATTCCTTGAGGTGAATGTGGCTGCTTAGCTGGCAAATGCTTTGTATCCACAACCCCGACTGTAACCCAGGTTAATGATTGAGAAGATTGCCTGCAAGATAGAGCTGGTGCAACTCTTCTGCCATCTGGCCATGGAGGCTTGCCGTTTCGTTTAGGTTGTGCCAAGTATTTTGAAGCTTCTATGGAAAGAGGAGATGTAAAAGAAAAGCATCAAGTCCCTGTAACAAGTGTTCTCTTGGTTCATATCATAATAAACATTTATTTATTACATTTTATCTTGATCTCTAGCTTCTTGAGAGATAATAGCAAACAGTACAGTCCTTTGCCTGCTAGCCTATGGTTTAAATGATGTTTGACTCCAATGTTCACTATTGGCCATCCTGGATTGGGTTGCTGGGACTTGCAGTTTTGGGGCACAGGTTCTTGCAGTTCTGGGGCACAGCTTGTCTTAAAGTTCCACATTCCATAATATCCTACTTTTTCTCCCAGGGCTCATGATGTCCTGCAATGCACCTTCAGCAATCCTATGAAAGAGGTTGGGTAAGAGAAAATGGTTGGTCCAGGGTCAGCTAAGAAGCTTCCTTGGCTGAGTGGGGACTTGAATTTAGGTCTCCCCATTCCTAGACCAACACCTTCACTACTACAATACCCAGGTTCTTGGGCTGGGCATCTGTGGCTAAAGGAGCATTTGAACCTGGTTCTACCCATATCTAGTCCAATACCTCAACTATAACATTAAACTGAAGTGAATCAAATTGAGATTCAGGACGGCTGGTCCAGACTTGCCTTCAGCTGAGAAGAAGCAAATACATCCTAAAGAAGGTTGTGTCATCTAAAATGATTCCGTAATTCTTGTTTTGATGGTCAAAGGCATATTAAAAAAATATGCTTTCAGCCATCAAAAACAAGAATTATGAATCATGATTAACAAACCCACATATTTAAGAAAATAAACTCCATAACTATTACTGAAAGTAAGCTGCAGTCTTGTTGAGAAGCATACCTCATAGTAATTTTTAATTAAATAATGTCTCAAGGGAGCATGAACAAAGCAGAGCAGATACAATATAATTATTGTATTTTAAAAAATGGATATAGAAGTGTATGAAGCTGCAATTTACCTTACTTATGTGCTGTGCAGAGATGAATGAAATGGAAGCGTAGTAGGTAAAATTAAATGATAGTGATTTAATAGGCATTTTTCTTTTCTTGTTTTAAATTCCTGATCCCACGTGATCTTGCAGAATTGATTTTCAAGAATCAGACGCAGCTTAAAATATGAAGGGTTGGTAGTGTTTGAAAAGCATTTACGTAAAAGAGATCAATGAAGTCAGAGAAATGGAGAATCAAGAGATGAATGGAGCTAAAGAAAGGGAATTTAGGCCAGCTTGACCTGATAGGTGATATAGATGAGTATATAAAAATACAGGCCATAGTGTGCTTATAGTGCCAGCAGGGATTAGTGAAGAAGACTGCCTTCTGATAAAATAAATAACATAAAACCGACATATTAGCAGGCTTTGGAAAGTTCACCAAGCATTGCCTATAACAGCTGTGGAGAGATCCAGATTTGAAGGAAAACTATATCTTTTCTTAGATCACAGTTATCTTCCATAAGTGACATGCAATGATGTGCGTAGGGAAGTGTTTGGTTTAAGTCATTCCCAACAGATGCGGCTTGCATGCCAACATGTGCTCCAAAAAACATTCTTCCCTCGGTAGAAGTTTGCATTTTCTGTATCTTCCACGCCTTTCTTTGGAATCATAAGTTCAGAAACCTCCTTCTGTTTACTGTCCAAACATTAGAATTTCCAGTTAAAGAGAACTGTGTATAAGAAAGCTAGAAAATATTCCACCAATCTCTAAAGAGTAAAGCTTTAGTGTTCATTTTTTAAAAATTTCCCCTGCTTTTAACATATGGTTTTCCCAGTTTGACATGAATCCCTGGACTTGTCATAAATCTAATTAAATTGTTCCACCAGCACCATTAGAAGCAGGAAAGTTAGGTGAGACAATTGTGACCCAGCCCAGGTTGAACAAATGGCCATGTCGGTGTTGTCACAAAGCTCTACTCTTTCACTGATTCAAACACACAACACTCTGTGTTAACTGGAAACAAGGTTTTCAAAAATAAGGTGGGTGAGCATTGCCTAAAGACATATTTCACATATATTGCCCAGAGAGGAAAAAGGGACTTATGACAGCCCTCCATTTGGCCTAATGAATGGCCCTATTTAAACCCTCCTGTGGAGGCAATGCAACAAAAGAGATGCAGTGAACATGCAATATTGCACATTTTGTCAGCAGTGAGGGAACACATCTCAAAAGACCCTGAAGCCGTGAAGCATTGTTTCAAGGGCATCCTTGGGGAACCTTGTGGTTTGGAGAATACTGCCCCATAAATTAGAGACAACTTAACTTTCAGGCTAATAAAGAACAATCTTGGGAGCAATCTGGTGCTTATCGGTTCCTTTCTTTCCTTGGTCAGCTATGAAAGGGAAATCTGACTATAGAACAAGGCTGCTAGATGTCAGCAATAGTCATTTCAGACATCAGTTTCCTGTAGAGAAGCTGTATTCGCCCTCCTGTACAGACGTAAAGTTGTCCCCTGGGTCCAGAGCGAGACATGTTATTAGAGCTAATATTTATTTGAATGTATCATCTCCATCAACATCAAACCCTGATTTAGAACAACTTCCTTGGGTGGAGATGAAGAAGAGAGAATTTTGTGATAGGACCACAGTAGTGCCACTGTCACCTAAAGACTCCAGAAATTGCTTAATGTATAAGATAAGTTGCATCAGGAGAAAGATGGGGAGAGTCCTGGTGAAGTATCAGATTAGAATGAAGCCCAACAGTAGGCACATTATTTTGAGCATGACCCTAGATGGTTTCCCAGCAATTATTTTGCAAATGTTGGTGAAACAAAATCCGGTGAAAAAGTGCCAAAAAACTACTTGAGCAATTTCACATTCTGGAGCCAAAATGATCCACTTTTCCCATCAGAGGTAGTTCCACAAATTCACTTTGGAGCCAAATATTCAGCTACTGTTGTCCCTCACCCCCCCGCCGCCATGTTTAGCATATTCCTAATTCTTAATGCACTTATTTGCTAAAGCTCACAGTCAGAGAGAGAGAGAGAGACTCAACCATGAGGCCATTGATTAGCAAACATTTTGGGTTTAGAGCTGCACTATGTCTCCCCCATTTTTTCCATCTCCAGGAGTTGTGATGGACATAGCCAAATCCCAAAATGTTCATTTACCAGTGAGAAAACCAGGAATTTTCTCCCTACTAATCATTCTAACAGCTTTCCCTCTCTAGTTGTTCTTACCGTCCCGGTTTGCCTCTGATTTTTTTCCAAAGTTCCGGACTGTGGCCACCCACCATTTTTATATTCTAAAAAGACTGCTGGGTCCTCTGTTGCCCCAGAAGCATTCTTGGAAATAGAAATGATTCTAGAACCTGAAGCTTTGCACCAGGGTATTTCTTTTTGAATGAAGGAACTGCAATTTAAGAAAGAGGTTGTGGGTTTTTCAGTATCCGGGGGACCATGTAGGTCTGTGCAGTGCTTCAGTTCTACAGCCAAAAGATACTTTGGATCCTGTGGCAAT